ATATTAATATGGTACAATAATGATACCTACCACATTTTTAAACCGCAATATTTAAAAACTAATCTATATGTTACTGATAATTTTTCTCTCTTTTTACTCGTTCTTTACCTCCCCTTACTTTATATACCGTGAGGTAAAAAGAACGAGTATTGTCCTTGGTGTGGTATAATTTAGAAACATCTGTTCATCTCTGTGAGTAAGGAGCTTACAAGTATGAATGAATGCTTATTCTACTCAGGGAATCAGCCCTGATATTCCATAATAGAGGTTTTTTTCAGTTACCAGTCAAAAATTTTACTGCTTAGTAAAAATTTCTAAGTGTTTTTAGAGCTATGAGCTATGTGGTAGTGACTGTGAATGCACCATTATATCATTATACTGAGTTACTAAATCACTCTTATGTATGGCATACACACTTATTTTGTTACTAGTTGATTTTTTTTTATACAAAATTAACTTTTTGCAAAACACCCTTGTAAGATAATAAGATCCACTTTGCAAACACCCAAATCAAAAGTATCTTCCTGGGAGCTATAGCAAGCCAGTGGCGCCATCTGCTGTTAGAAAACGATCCCGCGCCCCGCGCCGGGCTTCAAACAAAAGAATGAACTCAACAATGTATAGGGAGAAAAGTTGGTAGGGTAGAAGGGAAGACCTGATCACAGTCTACTATTATTTGTGAAAAGTGCAATTATCTGGTTGGTATATTATTAAAAACTGATACCCTCATACTTAAAAACTTATTGCTTAAAAAGGTGTGTATAAATTGCATGAATTTTAACTAATATCTGATGTGTCTGTCACTAACATTTCTCTTCTAGCCATGTCACGTTACGTTACGTTATGTTTGAGAAATACGTTTGAAAGGAACTGGAAAATGAAAATATGCTATTAACGAACTGGAACCCTGACACTAACATTTCTCTTTTAGCCATGTTTGAGAAATATGTTTGAAAAGAATTGGAAAATGCTATGAACAATCAAAGCCATGTTTGAGAAATATGTTTGAAACAAATTGGAAAATGAAAATATGCTATAAACAAACTGAAACCCTTGTGAAATTACACAATAAAACCATTTTAGATTCCTATGACTTTCCCTCCAACAATTACAGTCGCTATTAGATTCTACAATTTTGATAAATAGCCCGACATACTTCTGATTCTTCTGTTGCAAAGTGTATCTTATTATCTTAAAGGGTGTTTTGCAAAAAGTTGATTATGTATGGAAAAGACTAAACTTGTAACAATATAGGTATGCATGCCATATACATATATGAGTAATTCAGTGTGATCCAATACTGCATATTTACAATCATAACCACATGAAAGTTTGCTAAATTGCTGCTAAATGTTTCACTACAACTCTACTAACTTATAATAGATGTTTCTATGTTGTCACACATCACTGAAAACACATCATATATTCAGGGTTGGTGTAAAGAACGAGTTTATCTTTTTAACAGCAAATTAATTTGATGTTTCCTGTGCTCCTTGTTTTTTGTAATTTACAGGGGCAAAATATTTTGGATATGAATGACGAAGAGGAAGAGGATGAGATGCTAGCTGAGGATGGTGCTCAGAATGTGCTA